AACTACATTAGTCCTGCGTGTCATGGGTACAGCGTCTTTGGTCCTTGTGAGTGTTTGTCGCAGTATGGCTGTAGGTTTGTGTGCTACCATGATTCCAAGTGGTCGTAGGAGTCTCGCTGTCACTTCTGATATGTTCCAGGATAATGTGGCTAGTGTATTGGGGCGTACTGTGTCCTCTTGGCATTGTCGATCTAGTAGGCACCTGCGGATGAAGTTGTTGGGATATCCGTTGTTAGTAAAGACCTTGTACAGGTGCTCTTCCTCCTTCCTGTGTAGTTCTGGCATGTTGCGGTGAGTTGTGGCCCGTTTGAATAGTGTCCTAACACAGCTTTGTTTGTGGACATTGGAATGATTGCTGTGGAAATTGAGGATTTGGTCAGTATAGGTTGCCTTCCTGCGTACTGTGGCTTTCGAACTCCCCATTGGTCATTCGTTACCCTGACATCTAGAAACGAAGTTGACTGTTGTCTTCCTCTTCTGTTGTAAATTTGATCCTGGTGAAAATGTTGTTGATGAGGTGGTATGTCTCTTCCAACTTGGTTTGTTTAATGACGACAAACGTATCATTCATGTATCGGATCACTATTCGAACGGGTCACAACTCACTGCAACATGCCAGAAAAACACAGGAAGGAGGAAGAGCACCTGTACGAGGTATTTGCTAACAATGGATATCGCAACAACTTCATCCGCAGGTGCCTACTAAACAGACAACAAGAGGTCACAGTACACCCCAATATACTGGCCACACTGCCCTACATCAAGAACATATCAGAACTGACAACGAGACTCCTACGACCACTAGGAATCATGGTAGCACACAAACCTACAGCCACACTTACACGAACACTCACAAGGACCAAAGGCCCCATACCCATGACACGCAGGACCAATGTAGTTCACAAAATACGTTGTAATGACTGCGACGAACATTACTTTGGCCAGACAGGAAGGAAACTGGCTATCAGGATACACGAACACCAGTTAGCAGCAAAACAACATGACGAACTTCCCCTTATCTCAGTGCACTCGGACAATGAAGGCCATCAATTTAACTGGGACAACGGGATCATCCTAGCTCAAGCCACGCACGGGAATTCCCAGAGGCCTGGTTTTCAACCCATAATGCAATCAACAAACATGTGGAATTAGGCCCCCTGTATAAACCCATGCAGAACAGAACCGGAAATGACACAACCCAACTTAACAGACCGGATCATACAAGTACCAAGTGGAGTAGAAAAACATTGCTTCATCGGAGGCCGCACTGACGATGTTACATAGCATGGTGATGAAATGTGTGTACGATAACCAGCCAGCTCAGTGAGCAAGCCAACAACCTCATCCACAACCCGAGCTACAAATCTTCGCAAGAACCTTAAAGAATGAGTGTGAGAAGGAAACTGTACTATGCCTTGCTTTTAATATACATGTGAGACAGCTGCCTGCAGCTCAAGTTACTAGTTCGCTGTCTACTTTAAAGGAGCCTTTTATCATGAAGATGCAAAGCCTGAAGTTGAAAGCAAATTTTATATTGCACAAGAACTGTTCTCTTGCCACTGGTTCAAAGCATTGGCGTCAGAGTCTGGTGGAAATCTCTTGCCTAACAATCTCCCTGCTAACTGTCCTAAGTGAACCTGATGAGTTTTTAATTTTAGGTTGCCACTGTTTGTGCATCATTGTCTGCCTATATTAAGGCAATGCTCAACCAGTGTAATGGAAGTTAAAAGACATGATGGTGATAGAGAGAGAAAATGATTAAAGCTGACTAAGTGATGCTGCTTAATCTGATTGCCGGCCGTGAGCTCAGAAGATGCGCGTACTCAACAATTACATCAATTTTCACACCCTCACAGACTCTTTCCATGGGGGAACAAGTTACAACCGAAGGGTGAGCACTACATGAACGTCTGGCAGGGAGACTTCCCACACCACAACACAGCAGATGATGGTTTTTCCAAGACTGCTCCTGTAAGTGCCAGTCAGTTTGTTGCAAATTAATCCATCTTCCTGTGGAATTACTCCAAGTGAGTGAAAGGATGTGCTGCAGCCTAATAGGAAATGCTTGCTGTATCAAAACCATTAATCGATTGTCACCTTTGTGTTGCATTTCTTTTTTTACCTACCGTTGATTTGTTTGCAATGCTGTTTCTCTGTCCCTCTGCCTTGTTTCATCAGCTTCTTTGTCTCATTCTTTCTCTTTCATGAACTGATTTTGCTCCTTGCTGTGTAATCATTTGCTTCTTGCTTTCTTTTTCTAGCTGATGTAGCGGGTGGTATGGTGTAACAAAAAAGAGGCTCAGCAAACGTGTTCTGGGTGGTCATTGTAGGGACAATGAGCCCCCAACAACAGCAGCCTTTGTTTGCATTCACCTTTCTCAAACACACATGTTCTCACCTGTTACTCGGCCCCTTTGTGCTCCGTCATCCCTTCACCTTCCTACTACCTTCTACTCCCATTACCTCTTTCCCTTCAAACTATCTAGCCAGGCCTTGTGTCCTTACCAGGCCCCTTGCTCGACAATCACCCTTCCCTCGGTCCTCCATACCCCTCCCCCATAAAGGTGGGTGATGACTGGCCAGGTAGGGCGGCACAGTGGCTCAGTGGTTAGCAGTGCTGCCTCACAGCACCAGGGGCCCAGGTTCGGTTTCACCCTCGGGTGACCATCTGCACGTTCTCCCCGTGTCTGTGTCGGCATGGGTTTCCTCCAGGTGCTCTGGTTTCCTCCCACAGTCCAAAGAAGTGCAGGCTAGGTGGATTGGCCATGTTAAATTGCCCACAGTGCTCAGGGATGTGTAGAGTAGGTGGGCTATAGGGAGATGGGTCTGGGTGGGAAGCTCTGAGGTATGGTGTGGACTTGTTCGGCTGTTGGGCCTATTTCCACACTGTAGGGATTCTAAGTAAGGTCCAGCCCTTCAAGCCTGCATGGACCTTAGCTTATGTCACACCCACTTTTCTTCCTAGTCCCTGACAACCTTTGACTCCCTTGTCAATCAAGAAACTATCTACCTCTGCCTCAAAAGTACTCAGCCACTTCGCTGCCCCTGCTCTCTGGGGAACACAATCTCATGACTCTATGACTCTGTACTCCCCTACCCACAACCTGATTTCCTTCTGCAGTGACTCCCTCGTCTTCTCTCCCAATATTTAACCAGCACCATTTTTCAATTAGAATATGGAAAGCGCTTCTGCTCTCTCTAGCTCTTTCCTCAGCTTAATGCACGTTATAAAAAAGTCTACAGAAGACGAAATCAAACCATAACAAGGTTGTAATCAGAATGGTGTCAATTTCATTCTCATAAAAAACACAAATGAAATTGAGTGAATAAATGTAATTACATTATTTATGACATGTACACTTTTGTTTGGATTCTTATTTTAAACATTACAAAGTTCACTAATTGAAGGAAAATTATATGACATACAATTTCAGAAAGTATTGATTGGCCCATTTGCAGAATTTCTTGATTACTTGGGTGCCCCTTATGACCAAGGCACTATGATGATGTGCTATGGTTAACTTGCTAATTCTAAGTGTCCATATCTGCACGTAAGACTGAAGAGTTGGGCAATGTAACATGTGAGATAGGGGCATACTTTTATCCTTTCTGCTCGGTGATAAAAATGCATCCCATCCAGGTGACTAAAGGAACATCATCTGGGAAAGTGTACAGGCCTGTAGTGAATTGCACAGTATTTTCCATTTGTTTACATTGCTGGTCAGAAGATCTTGAAGATTCTTTTGCAGGCGTGTGATCCTACCTGATAGGTTTTCCTCCACAATTTCTGTTGAAGTGACAGTTTACATCCAAATGCAAAAGAGGAAAGAAAGCACCTTGGTGCAAGTTAACACATTTGGCATTGGGAGGGCCGGAGGAAGGAGATTTACCAAATAATGATTTTTCAAAACCTTATTCATGGGGGATTCAAGGTGCAGGTTCTCTTATGCATATGTTGGAGGCAATTGAATGTAGTTTCCCATGTAGCAGATTCACAGTCACAGAGTCATACATCATGGAAACAGACCCTTCAGTCCAACCATTCCATGCCGACCATAATCTCAAACTCAACCAATCCCAACTGTCTGTGCTTGGTCTGTGCTATCCCTTCAAACATTTCTTACTCATGGACTTATCGTCTTTGAAATGTTGTAACTGTACCCGCATCCATCACTTACTTCCTCTGGAAGATTATTCCACACGATCCACTTTCTGTGTAAAACGAAATTGCCCTTCACGTCTTGTTTAAATCTTTATTCTCTCACCTTAAAAATGTGCCCTCTAGTCTTGAAATCCCCCACCTGATGGAAAAGACACCTGCCATTCACCTTATCTATACCCGTTGTGATTTTATAAACCTGTATGAGGTCCCCTCAACTTCTCACGCTCCAGTGAAAATAGTCCCAGCCAATCCAGCCTCTCCTCATAACTCAAACCGTCCATTCCCGGCAATATCCTGATAAATCTTTTCTGAACCATCTCAACTTAATAATATCCTTCCTATAACAGGGCAACCAGAATTGAACACAGTACTCCAGAAGAGGCCTCACCAACATTCTGTACAACCTCAACTTGATGTCTGATACTCCAAATTCAAAGGCTTCAGCAATGAAGGCAAGTGTGCTAAATGCCTTCTTAACTACCCTGTCTGTATGTGACACAAACTTCAAAGAATTATGCACCTGAACCCCTAGGTCCCTCTGTTCTATAACACTACCCAAGGCCTTTCTTTTAATTGTATAAGTCTTGCCCTTGTTTGTGTTACCAAAATGCAATACCTCGCATTTATCCAAATTAAACTCCATCTGCCAATCCTCAGCTCATTGACCCAGTTGATCAAGATTCCGTTATACTCTTAGATAATGTTCTTCACCATCCACTATACCACCAATTTTAGTGTCATCACAAACTTACCAACCATGCCTTCTATAGTCTCATCTAAATCATTTATATAAATGACAAACAAAAGTGGACCTAGCACCGATCCCTGTGGAACACTATTGGTCACAGGCCTCCAGTCTGAAAAACAACCCTCCACTCTCTGTCTCCTGCTGTTAAGCCAATTTTGTATCCAGTTAGCAAGCTCAATCCTTTCTTGCTGTTTAAAAAGTATAGTATAGAAATAAGGCATTTTTTTCACAGAGGAGGGTGGTCATTCCAAGTCATGAAGCAAATTTGTCAACAGAGCATCAACTGGATCAGAGTGTGGCTTTGGGCAGAGCTGAGAAGACAAAGCAGGAGAAGTATGTCAGTTATTCAGGATTTTGTCACATTGCTATATTTAACATATATGCACTTTTCATATGTACTTTTATGGAAATATTTAGGGGTTTTGTTAATTGAAAACTCGAAGTGTTTTTGACAGTGAGAGGAATAAATGTGAAGTGTTGGAGCTTCACTGTGGCTCCTGATACATTGAAATGTGGTGTTTATTTT